GAGCGGAGAGCGGACTGCCACAAACCTTGGGTGTCAATAACGCTGCCTACGAAGGATTGCCAGTGACCAGCCAGGGTTGAAGCATTTCTCCTTTGCCTCATCTTGCAAAGATTAACTCCTCAGGCCCGCTGTTAGACATCTGTTGGACCTCAGACTCACACACGTGGATCTCACCAACCTCATGAGAAATGAAGAGTTGTGATCAGGGAGCGGACTGCCACAAACCTTGGGTGTCAATAACGCTGCCTACGAAGGATTGCCAGTGACCAGCCAGGGTTGAAGCATTTCTCCTTTGCCTCATCTTGCAAAGATTAACTCCTCAGGCCCGCTGTTAGACATCTGTTGGACCTCAGACTCACACACGTGGATCTCACCAACCTCATGAGAAATGAAGAGTTGTGATCAGGCCATGTCTGTCTGGAAATCCTATAATTTACTAAAAATAAAACAAAAATACCAGCAACCCTCACACTATAAAATACAACAACACGGTGCATGTACACTGCAGAGCTCAGAGAGTGCTTTTTTATGTTATTTAGATTTAAGAATGAAGTTCTAAAGGTTTTTTTTTTTAAGCATTCTCTCAAAATGTTTTGCAAACTGTGAAATGCTACACATATGTAAAATGCTCTGAGTGCTGTTACTGTCAATTTAAATAATGAAGGTATTAGAGCAATAGATCAAATAAAACAAGTCTGTCCTCCAGCTTTCTGCAAAAGGGGCACGCGAAAGGCCAGTAGTCTGTATTTTTGCACACAGCCCTGCTCTCCCACCATGGCTATGCCACAACCTCATTGTGGTCTCTCCCGATCATGCCCATTTTCTCTGCATAAATCTAGACTTCCAGTTTAACCAGAACTGCTAGAGATTGAACACTCCCTGGGGAAGATACCCACCCCTGCTCTGCCAGCCCCAGGCATGAATGGGCTCAGGTGCTCTCTCCTGGAACAGAAGCAGGGCCCAGGTGTTAGCACTCACTTCGGAGGGAGCTGCCCTGCCTCTCTGCAGTCCCAGCCGTGTACTGCACCCCATCTAACAGCATTTCTTGCCGGCCCAGACTCACAGACCTACATACAGTTGGCTCTCGGTATCTGTGGGGGCCTGGTTCCCAGATCCTGTAGTTACCAAAATCCATGGACATGCAACTCCCTTACAGAAAACAGGGCCGTTTTTGCAAAGAACGTATGTACAATCCTCCCAAATACTTTGAATCGCCTAGGGATTACTTATAACTAGTACTAGATGAGTGCCATGTAGTTATTACACTGCATCATTTAGGGCAGAATGACAAGAAAAAGAGTCCCTATGTGTTCATTACAGGTGCAGTTTAAAAAAATATTTTCTATCTGCAGTTGGTTGAATCCACAGAGGTGGAACCTGTAGATACAAAGGGATGGCTGCAAATACATTGCTGAGACAAACAGCTTATCGTGACAAAATCACCATACGACAGGTAAAACTAGTTTCTATACGAGAGAAACAGAGTGTTTTTATTGTTGCTGTTTTGCTTTTCAGTACAGGGGATTGAACCTAGGGCCTTTTCACTGAGTTACATCCTACACCTTCTTTACTTTTTTTATTTTGAGACAGAGTCTCACTAAGTTGCTAAGTTGCCCAGGCTGGGCTTGAATTTGCCATCTCCCTGCTTCAGCCTTCCAGAATAGGACCACAGGCCTCTGCCACTAGGCTTGCCTAGGAATGGTGTCTGGAAGGGACCATTTTATAGGACTCTCACCCAAGTGCTGTGTTGGCCACCAGCAGTGTGGTCCTTGGTGACAGACACCTGCCCCCTTCCTGGTCTGGCTCAGCTCTAATGGTACCATTTCAGCTGTCATCAAATTAATTCAACCTACTACTACTGAGTTGTACATTATGGGTAGGTATAATGCCTTTCAAAGAAAGCAGGTCTGGAGGAAGATCATTTTGTTTTGCTAGCTGTTAGCAGTGTCGTTAGGATGGCAAAGGTAGAAGCCAAGAGAAGAGATCACCAGAAGAACAGGGAAAAGCTGGACCCTGCTGCCCAACAGTGCTGCCCAGCTATGGAGAACACCAGGAACTCAGTGGGGACTCTCAGGACAGTGAAATAGGCAGGGACTGAGAGCTTGGAGAGAGGAAGAGCGAAGGGAGGGAAGGTGGGGAGTCTTTCTGTGATGGGTGAAATTCTGGGGAAAAGACATGGAAGGCAGGTGTTTAACAGCCCTCTTGCAGGGTGTGTAATGTAGTTCCGTCTTCAGTGCTCTTGCCGTGAGAACGTCTTCAGTGAAACTTCCCTACACATTTGGAACTGGGTTCAGGATCCACCTGAATGTGACATAGCGCTAAATCAGTCCACTCACACTAGAGCAAGACTTCACTCAGTACCGAGAAAGGCTTAGCCCATTCATAAGGGCTCCACCCCTGTGATCCAAGAGCCTTTCACTAGTCCCCACCTCCCAGCCCTGCCACATGGAGAAATTCAGGCTCAGCATGAGTTTTGGTGGGAACAAACTATATTCAGTCCATAAAAGGTGGCGGAGACACTGTTCTCTATAAATACAGGGCTCTGGCCTCTGGGCTAGAGAGCGCCTGTGTGTCAATGCCCTATGTTGGGTCTTCTACTCAGGACCCCTACCCCAAGGTGTCCTCTAACCTTCCTCTTCTGCATCAGTATGGTCACCATACAGGGGAAGGCTCTTCTCACCCCACCCAAGGTGACTCTTACTGCTTCTTTGCTGCCTTAAACATATATGTTAATCATCAGAGATGGTTCTTAACCTACTCCCCATTTTCCTAAAGCCTGCAGGCAGGCAGGAAAGCATTCACAGACATTACCTGCAATGTGCCCCTCACAAGGGCAGCCAGTTGTTTGGAGTCTCCAGGCTAGTGATGGCAAACCTTTTAGAGATTTCAGTGATACACAGTCCACGGTGTCACACCTGCCATACATTTGACACCACTACTCTAGATCTTACACTGTCACTCATTTGGTAAATGCCTTTTCCAGTTAAATGACAACGGCTAGATTTGTTTTCTTGAATTGTAGTTATTTATGTTAATTAGCCTGAGAAACATAACTCATAATTCTACTACCCAAAATAACTACTCTCCTTCCCGTTTTAAATTTTTAACTGATGAATACAAATTATGCATATTAAAGGGGTAACATGTAGTTCATTTTGTAGTACATTGAAGGGGTACGTGTATACATTTTGTAATGCTTGCCAGTTTAAAAGTGCTTATCTCAAACCTTTATCTTTTTATAATGAAAACTTTCAAAATCTTTCTTTCTAGATTTTTGAGATGTACAATATATAATTATTATTTACAGTAACACTACAGTGAAATAGTGTACCAGAAATTCTTGCACCTGTCTAATGATAACTTAATATCCTTTGATCCACCATCTTTTGAAATATATGTTAAGTATATTTACATACATAGATATGTATGTGTACATAGACAGAGAGAAAACATATATTGAATGTATAGTTTTGATATCTGTTCTTCCCAATTAACATTATACTAAGAATCTTGTCTTCTTTCTTTAGGAAAGTGATCCTTCTTCTAAAAACATCATTATTTGTTCAACCAACTCCCTGTTTTGGATCTTTTAGAGTGATATTTTGTTTCCAGGAGGGTTAGGCCATTTTATCTACCGATTTACACTGTATATGAGTGCAGGAGATACAGTACTGGCTATTCCCAATCAGTCTCATTATGTAGCATTTAAAGCCTACCTCATGAACACTGAACAAGATGTGCCTTTTTTGCTGCCATAATAAATTGCACATCACCACAAATAGTCTAAGGCATTCTTGAGTGCCTTAAGTGACTTCATATACACCACAAGCCTTTCACTCTGCCACGGCCTATGTATAATATTGCACTCAGTAACCATCTGACTTCAGTTACATTCATGGCACTATTTATGGTATTTGAAACTTATGTCAAGAGATTTGGTGTCTGTCCTAAAAATATTAAGAAGGCAATAGTTTCCAGATAATGAGTGAATCTTAGATTTTTCTTGTGCCAGATGAATGATTGTTGATGCATCCAGGACAGAGGCACCATGTCTATAATGGCTTATTTTATGTGTTAATTTGACTGGACTAAGGACCACCCAGGTATCAGGTAAAATGTTATTTGTAGGTGTGTCTATGAAGCTGTTTCACAAAGAGATTAACATTTGAATCGGCAGACTGAATAAATAAGATATGTCTTTGTGTTAGTCCACTGTCCATTGCCATAATAAATATCTGAGATCATCAATTTATAAAGAAAAAAAGGTTTATTTTGTCTCATAGCTTTAGTGGTTTCAGCCCACAGTCTGTTAGGTAAAGCACCCTGTTGGATGGTCAAAGCACCCATCCTGGCAAGAGCACACGGTAGAACAGAACTGCCCACCTCATGCCAGGGAGTGAAAAAGAGAAGAGAGAGAGTCCCACAATCCTCTTCAAACACAGACCCTGGTGACCTAAATGTTTTCCACTAAGCCCTACTTCTTGAAGCTTCCCAATGAAGACCAAGTCTTTAACACACAGGCTTTGGGAGACAGTGGAAATCTAAACTGAAACAGCCCTCATCAGTGTGGGCAAGCATAATCCAATCTGTTGACAGTCCAGATAGAATGAATCAGCAGAGCAAGAACGAATTCTTTCTGTCCCTCTCCTAGCACTAGGATATCTATCTTTTCTTCCCCACAGACATCATCCTGGTTCTTAAGCCTGCAGTCTCCAGGCCTTATGCCAGCAAACCCGCCCCACTAAACCCACTCTCAGGGCTTTGGCCTTATACTGGAACTGACAACAGCAGCCGCCTCACAGCTAGTATCTGTGTCTTTGACTCTTAGGTCTGTGTGACTGTCTGCCTAGGGGAGGAAATTCAGAGTGAGATTGCTGGAACTGTTGAATTTTAATATGCACTACTTACTGACTCTGTCAATTTAAAGCACTTGTATCAGTTTAAAATTCCAGCAGACATGTGTCCTTTGCAGAATTAGAGGCACCATCTGCTTATTGTTAAACTACACCTTGTCCCACATAACAAAATATTGTGATCATTTTACCATGCATATAGGTGTTCTTTTAAAACTTATGGAGGCATATGATTCCATCTCATTATTTATACTATGGAATTTTTAGGTATTGAATATTCAGGTATCTCCCGTTTGTGGCTATAAACCCTTGTATGCAAGGGGGGGTAATTTCC